CACACACACACACACACACACACACACACACACACACACACACACACTCTTTCACTTAAGCACATGCACATAAACCACTATATCAAGCACAGTCACTGAAAGCTCGCTCCAAAGGTCTCTGTATTTTTATTCCCTAGCTCACGTTGCACCTCACAGGTTTACAGAGACATGTGGTATCCATGACAACGTAGATGCTGAGACTAAGATTTGAGGAAAAACTAAAGTCAAGCCCAGTAAAAAAGTTCGATGTGTTAGATATTTGTGAAAGGAAGCAGCCTGAGCTCCTCTCCTTAAAAATGTTTACTTTGTCAGTTGCACTAAAACACTCTAAAAATGTATTGTTTTTCTATACTGTTTGTTTTTGTGAAAAAAAAATATTCAGGTATGCTTATACTGCATTCACACTGTGTTTGGGATGCTTACCATGTTGGAAATTGATATTGTTAATCAGATGCTTTCCAGGAGGTATCTCATGGTGTATGATGGCATCAGCCACACAGGGGTAAATCAGTCCATTTGTTCACTTTATTAGTTTGTTTTGCAGTTTTTTTTTCATTAATATAATTCATTAATCATTTGGCTAAACCTAACACTGATATTATGATATGACATAGTAGCATTGTGTGTTTTTTCTAAAATGTTTTGTTATATTAATTATGTTTCTCTTTCTTTGAGTTACATGTGTTCTCTATGCCTTGGCTGCTTGGTCCCTCACATGGTGGATAAAAATCTGACGGTACTTTCTGGAATTCCATCAGTTTGGTCAGGATTCCCTAACACCACATCTCCGACATGTTTTACATATGGCTTCGTAGCTGATTTGTGTTGAGATCTAAATCAAATTAAATCTTTTGATATAATCCCATATTTAAATGGCATAGTGGGTTAACATATCAAACATTTTCTTAAAAAGAATTGCCACTAATTACTGAATGGTCTTTGTTTTATTTGTTATGTAAAATAAAAACAACTTAGTAGAATAAATGTGTTTCCACCTGTTGAACATTAATACCAAAGTGAATGAGAAAGTAACTGTAGGCGCTAGGACCCTGCAAACGCATCTATTTTCTGGTGGGATGAATGTGTATCAACCACGCTCATACCAAGGTGCCTTCAAGTCCTGTAGGAATTTTAATACTTACACTTCTAAAGGTTTCCTGTCAAATATAATTATTTTTAAAATTTTATTTATTTTCGGTTATGATGATTCTTTAATCTGTGCTTTGAGTTTGGAAATGTAAGAAGTCGCTTTCTCACAGATACCTCAAACAATAAATGCAATGTGATATATGCATTTAAGCTTGAATAATCCATCTTTTTTTATGGTGTATGAAGCAGGGGGTAGTTTTACGGGGTTCATTGAATTAGGGTCCTTTATGGTCCTTATGTAATGCAGTGGATTGAAAAATGCATAGTAATCATGAAACCTGGTTCTATTGTCAGATGACAGCATCTGCTACATTTCCTGATAAAGATGGTGGATTTTATGCAGAAGAGCTTCAAACATCAAGGGACAACAGAAAAGCTGAGGAACAGCAGAACTGGTAGATTAAAGAAAAAAAAAACCAACAACAACCAAACATATGTTTCAAAAGCTTTTCTGTTCACATTATGAGCAGCAAATTGGCTTCCTATTACGGTGCCTCACACAAGTGGAACAATCTGGAGAAGCTTGTAAAATTAGATATGCTAATCCCTTTTAATCAATTGAAATCCCATGTGGGGCACTGAGCAGTGTGAACGCATGTGTTTTCTTTAAACGTCCCTTATGTTGATGTGTTCTTTTGATTTTGCTTTTTATGTTTTTGCTTTCATTGATTGATTTGCATTGTTATCATGGCATTCCTTTAAAGGTGAGCGTGGTCTTGGTGGCCTCTCTTGTTTAATTAAAGGTCACATGACCCCCAAAAACATGTTTTATGATTCACTAATCAAACATCTGCAGGCTCTGTATCATCTCCTTCCTGTGTTTCTGTAAAGTAGGTTGATATTTATTCGCAGCAAGTTCAGCTTCACTTGTATTGACAGCACACTGGGATGTTTTACAAATATTAAACCTCCGCAGGTGTTTTTTTAATGCAGTAAAGTTAAAACTTTTAACATGGAAGTCTTTGGGAATTTACTTGCTTTGGATTCATTTTCAAATGGAATTAAAGAAGCTGCAGTTTTTTCCATTTACAAGCCCCCAAAACCTGGAATAAATACAAGTCAAGTCAAGTGGTTTTATTGTCATTCCAACCATGTGCAGTGGTACAGTACACAGTGAAACGAGACAGCGTTCCTCCAAGACCATTGTGCTACATATGACATATAAGACACAATCAGCGCAGAACTACATAAAGTGCAATGTACAATTACACTACAGTACAATAGAAATGTGCAAAAGACGGAGTATTGTGCAAAAAGTCACTTGGTGTATGAAGGTGTGTGTGTGTGTGTGTGTGTGTGTGTGTGTGTGTGTGTGTGTGAGATTCTGCACATAAGTGCTTGGTAGTGACATGTATGAAGGTATGCGTGTGTGTGTGTGAGATTCTGCACATAAGTGCTTGGTAGTGACATGTATGAAGGTATGCGTGTGTGTGTGTGAAGGCACTGAATGTACGGTAAATGGACTGGTTTTTATGTAGTGCTTTTCTACTTTTATTGGAGCGCTCTTTGCCTTGTTCACCTATTTACACCCATTCATACAAGCATTTTTTGTACACTTTAAGTATCTTTTTATATCAGCATTATCAAAGTGGACTTTCATAGCACAGTTCCAGAATTATTTGCCTAATATTTATTGTGTATTTATGTCTTTAAATTGGCATAAATGGCATTCCATATAATGAAACCAATATGTTGTATTTTTATTATTGAGTGCGCTACCAATAACGTGCTTGTTATATAGAACATATCACATAATAATATCAACACAAAAACTTATTGATATTTAGTCACAGTATGGGCACATCGATGCACGTCTTAGCCAAAAAGATGAAAAATCCGAGGTCACAGAGAGTCCCTGAAAGCAGCTCGATCGTCTATTCTCCACCCTAAAGGAAGCCGTGCGACATCCATCAGACTCGCAGGACTCTCAGAGGTACTCTCGAGCTGTCCCCAGCCTGTAGCTCCAACAAACAGCCCGCTGGGACATCACGCTGCGCTCCGGGCAGGCTGCTGATCTCTGCCCGGATTTACCCCTCGAACAGGACTGTGGGAGCGATGCGACGTCTCGGAGGAGGAGGAGGAGACGAACTGGCCAGGCAGAAGCAGACACCTGAGAGGAGGATCTGAGTTTGTTTCTGTAACGTCAAAGAAAGGTGAGTGGCAAAAAGAAAAGAGCGGCTGGTGCCTGGCGCAGACGCGTGTTTGCTTGTTGGTGTTCGGTGCGTGTTACTTGTCGTGTCCAGCATCGGTAGCAGGCAGGCGGTATGAGTCATAGCCCCGGCGCAGGGCTGCTGGAGGATCTGCTGAGGAGCAAAGTGTCTGCAGCCTCCAGACCAACAGTCTGTTATCAGCCCACTGCACATGCAAAGCGCTGCACCTCTACGCCATTTACGCAAACGACTCTCGTGCATTTTCCTCTTTGGAGTCCGCGTGCACTGTGATCGTAGTTGGAGTCTGCGTGGGTGTTCACGCACGTGCAAATAAGTGACGTGATAGCTGCTTCACCTGACAGGCAGGTGTGTGAGAGTGAAATTCAGAAATGCTGCGTTAAACCTCAGGTTTGAAGCTGTGCTTCCGGTAAATGCGAAAGATAAAGCGATGTCTTGCACAACGGTGCGGCTCCAACTTTACAGCAACAGTTTGCTTTGAACCTTTTCATGTGTGGGGTTTGTTTTCTTTTTCCCACAAAGCAGTGGCCTGCTGAAGCCACCAGAAAGCGAACCACAGTTTGGTGTAGCCTGCATAGAAGACTCTGTTTCCGAAAGTTTATTTTAATGAATTATTCTTGGCTCTGTATGATGTCACTTTTGGCTGTAAGCACAGAAACCTCACCCACCTGCTGTTCAAACCTTCTGTTTGCCAAGGGCACTCAGTCAGAGGTAAGGGTGGCCTTAAATTAATATGAGCTAAAATCAGAAAGTATAAGATAACCTGGCATTATTTACCTGTTAGAATCAACATGGAACAGCCATTATTAACTGGAAGGTTATGTGTTTGCATCTCCTCTGTCTCCCTGAAATATTATTTAGAAATGTGTTTCTTTAAATCTAATTGTACCCTTGTAGCTGAAGAACAACAGTCTCAGCAGGAATCGGTATCAGAAATTTTTATGGGAATTATATCAGCGTGTGATCGACTGGCGACCTCAACTAAAGTGTACTCCTACCTTTGGCCTGCTGCACTGTAATCATGCATGTAGTAAGAAAGTGCCTCAAAGGGATCAAGAGTAGCAAGGTGATGTATAAGTACCAGTCCATTTACCTTTTATCTTCTGTGTAAAATTTCTCTTTTTCCATAATGGAATTTAAACATAAAGGTTAGCCTTTTATTATTAAATCCTAACAGGTAAGCTAACTAAGATTGAGATCTCTTTTTCAAGAGAGGACTGCATACAAACATACACATGCAACATTCAAAAACTGACACAAAGAGCTGCACAGTTAAGGGACAAATGCATTATACACACAAATGAAGACCAACTCGTACAAGAACAGTTGCAGATAGACAAACGTAAAACCCTACAGAGAATGCAGCTTAATAGTTCTTTGGAGCTTGTTCCATTTATAGGCAGCAATGAATCTGAATCCAGTTTTCCCAAGCTCAGTGTGAACACGAGCTACAGATGATGTTTAAATGTCCTGAAACCTGACATTGTAGGTACTTTATTTAAATTCAGTCAAGGAGTTGAGGTAATAATAATAATAATAATAATAATGGATTGGATTTATATAGCGCTTTTCAAGGCACCCAAAGCGCTTTACAATTCCATTATTCATTCACTCTCACATTCACGCACTGGTGGAGGTAGCTACAGTTGTAGCCACAGCTGCCCTGGGGCAGACTGACAGAAGCGAGGCTGCCATATCGCGCCATCGGCCCCTCTGGTAAGCAGACAAGCACCCTCTCTTCAGTTTGCTAGGGAGCATCATCCCACTTCTTCATAAAAGATACAATGGTGAGTATGAAAAGAACCACCTGTGATGAATTGCAATGCATTGTGAAACAGACTCGAGGTTTCAATGTCGATATGGAAGCATGCATAGAAACAATATCATCATAATCAAGCGCAGACAAACTGCGTTAAACGTCCCGGTGAGGTAATTAATATTCAGTTTTACTATAATTTAGAAGCCACTTTCAGTGGGTACTCTATTCACAAGGGGTCCCCACAGTGGGTGGCTCCGCATTTTTGATTATGCAGACTTTTATACCCTCCGCCTTCCTGATGCAACCCCCAAAAGATTCATTTCTCTTCCCAGGGCTCAAATGGAGATCTTCTTATTAAACAAAAATATGAAAATGACTCTCCTACTCATTGTCAATGTGCATAATTTAAATAAGGTAAAGGGAATAGAAGTCTTGCTGGCCTATGCAAACAATTACAATTTTTTCATTTGCTTTAAATCCAGGTAAATTCACCTAATTTGAAAATGATATTTCATGTCCACACACAGATGAGGAGGTGTGACAGTAATGAGTATTTTCTTCTTGGAGTCTTTGTTGACTCATAAATCAGTTTGTAAACAAAGATGGAAGGAGCAGAGGTAATTAGCGGAAGCAGCCTTTATTGGATGGGTAATGCGGTCGGCATCCCCCGAGCTGCTGGCAGCTTTATTGTTTCTGCAGAGTGAATCCAAGCTGATTTCTTGCTGATAGGCTCATAATGGAAATTACAAATAACATCTGACTTGCCGGCCTGTTATCTGTGCTGGTGTTAGTGTGCACACTAAAGGCCTCGGCTTCCTTAGAGTTGCTATTCATTTGGTCAAATTTCATAAAAAGACAAATTAATAAAGACGAATGAGGCGAAGGGAAAAGTTGCTCTTTGCTTGTGCTGTCAGGTCTGCTGTGATGTGAACTACTGATACAGAAAAACTGGTCAGTGAATTTTTAATCTTCAACAAAGCCAAGCAATGCCTGTGTATGTCTGTTAGCTAAAAATCCTTCTTAGATTTCAGTAATTCAGCTGAGGGGTAAAATGTGCAATGTAAATTACGTGTAGAATTTCACTGAATATTAATCCCTAAATGTGACCCCAGATCAGCTGTGAGTCACAGAGCCACAGTGTGACATGTGGGTGCATGAAATATACTTCTATAAAGGGAGGCTCTGAGATGGGACATGGTTAAATTCCATTTACTGGATAGGAGTAAAACGGGGCTCTTTTACAGTTCATGGGAAGATGACATGACAGCCCGTGCGTTACACTTCACGTTTGTGCAGCAATTCGTCTGTGACAGAAGCTAATGAGTTAAATATAAAGATTGATCATCTGAGTTGTAAAAGCAAACTTGCATGCGTTTAGAGGCATCTTGTTATTTCATGCTCCATTATCGAGTTGTGGCGTAACCTCTTGATCACAAGCAGCATCTATGACGATCATCCAGTTATAAAGATTTAAATGAACAATTCAGACTTTAGACATGAGGTCACAATAAAGGTAAGAGAGAGAATCTCATCACATTTCATTGTCTTAAAGAAGCTCACATGACATGACATTTTGTCACCATGAGACTCAGTGCTAGGGTTGAACACTTTTCGGTGAAGCTATCTGCTGCTAGCAGCAGGCTTGGTTATTTTTTTTCCTATTGTATTTAATGGCCTGACCTTTTCAGAATTCAGCCTGCTAAATAAATAGCAGGTAACATTTAATAGAAAATGTGAGCGTTTCTGAAAAGTTCTTGTTTGAGAACAATTTTAGAAAACTGTGTGGTTGTACTTCCTCTCCATTTAAAAGCCTGTGCTGTTGCCACTTGATTATTTCGAGGTTGTAAGGCATCCTTCTGAGTGCTTTGGTTAGGTCTGTGTATAATAATCCTAAACTGGTGACATTAGATGTTTTTGTACCATAAAGTTTTTTCCGTGGTTGTCGTCTTTGAAAAATGGTCGTAATCTCTGGATATTGGGATCGCAGCAGCTGACTGGAAAACTTAAACATATCAACCAGCCCGAATCCATTTGACACTCTCTGTGGACACACGCATAGTGTTATTTTTCTAAGTATAGTAATGCATCTGAAGCATAGAGGTCTGTAGATTTGTGTGCAGAAACCTTTAAATTCATCTTGTCAGTGACCTGGTTGCTCACCTGTTAATCACAGTTTCTGGGTCAGTAACATGAGGAGTGTCCAGTGGGAATTTTTAAGGTGTCAATAAATCCTAATTTGGACAAATGGTTTCTCTTACCTGGGCAAACTCACAAAGTATCCCAACTGAATCTGAAGCAGAAATGCTTTTAAAGTGGGTTAAGTCATAAATAATCAGGCTTTTCATGTTTGTGTTTTGTACTCTCCTTCATTAACTTCTCTTTATTTTAAAGTCTCATCTGAAATGTGCATTGCAAACTAGGCTGGGCTATAAATGCTGTTTTATGGTTCATGCAACATCAAACTATTCTCATTCCCAGGCGCTCAAAATCTTCAGTTTTACCAAAGATGCGGTATCGCAGAGATCTGCAGGTTCCATGATCTGGATCTCTCACTCCTAACTCTACTTTAAGATTTAAGATTTGAAGAGGCAGCACAGTGCCAACCAGCAGTCAAGAGAGTCAATGAGGTCAAAGCAGTTTCCCTGTAGGCTTTAATAGCACCAGAAATTGCTTTCCAACCACAGGCATTGCCACCTGGTGTCAGTTAAAAGCAGTGCTGGTTTAAGGCACTTAAATATTGGATCTTTCTTTCTATCTGTTGTGTTCTTTGTGCTTGGATGGGTTTTCTGTGGAAGCTTACAGTTTGTCCTGCTTTTGAAAAAACTTGAGGGCTAACAGTTTTCTCTGGTCCTCCATAATTTCTGTGTTGCTGGTCTGAGGTAACAATCATATGGAATCACAGTTGGATTAGACCGATTTCAAGATATACAGGCTTATGGAAGTTTCATGCCATTTCCCGAGTTGTATTGGCAGCTTCCGTTCTAAAGTCTGAAAATGCAGTTGGTACCTTTGAGGTTTATCCGGGAAGAATAGAGGCGCTCACGTTAGGTGTTTTGCTGTGATGATTCACAGTGACCTTTTGCCTCCAAGACAGTCTCCCTAACCACTCTGCCCTTTCCTTCTGGCTCTCTGTCACTCCCTCCCTCTCCTCCTCTTCTTCCTCCTGCCACCCACCTGCAGTGTATCGACCAGAAACAGCAGGATTCAGCCTTCCTAAGATGATTAA